CTTTCGTTTGCCCGTGCACCTCCCTCTCTTCTCTTCCTCTCTTCATGGAGATATAGAGATATACAAGTGTGGAACTTGGATTTGATACCTATGCTTCCTAGTAAATCAACTAGGAGGTCACCCGTCCCAAGATTGCTCAAAGCAAAGTACGCTTAACTTTGGAGTTCTTATGGTTGAGCCATCGAAAAAGAAGATGCACTTTATTAGTATAGGTAGTAACAATCAATTCTTTTAAGTCTTTCTTGATCCTGTGGTATCGATTCATCCATGTACCCTTCCTTTCTACTCGAGCGTTACAATTTCCCTCCTCTTTTTGGATTAGCAATTATGGCAACTAGATCGCACTTGAAAGGTAAAGTATTAGTGACCAGATAATATCAAACGCTAACAAAATCTAATTAGATCTGATTTGGTTGGGGCAAGATCCTCCCAAAACAACAAAATTCCAAATATGGACAGTTTTGCTCTAGGACATTTGTTATGGGGAGATAAAAGAAGAAGAGACCAAGCCACGGGGGTCGAAGAAAACCCGTGAGAAAGCACGAACTAGGAAAGAGGGCCGGCACCCGACGATTTGGGCTGGCCCCTGGCCGACTAGTGGTCGGCACCGAGCAGTGTACGGTGCTGACCAGTTCTCGGCCCCCCGGCCGAGAATTGGAGTGGTTCATCCCGATCGTTTTACAGTCCCACTCGAAGTATCCCGCCTTAATTCTCGATTCGACCTAAAGCCCACAACAAATGAGCAGTCCCGAATATTGAGATGTATGAGGATTCGACTGGGGTAAACCCTAAAGGGATTAGAACTCGACTTCTATAAATGGAAGGGGAAGCCGAACACTAGAGGTAGGCCAAAACACCCTACTCTCTACATTCTAATTCCATTATCCGTCTACTCTCCTTGCTAACTTAGGCATCGGAGCCCGTGTGACTAGAGTCACACTGGTTTAGGTTTGATTGATTTTGTAGGTTCTCTGTCTCCTGATTATCAAGTTTGGTGCGAACCTCAAAAGGAACTGGGAAAGCATAATTCACGCATCAACAACATCTTTTATGCAAACAACAATAACTTTCTTCCATAGCTCAGATTTAAACTGGTCTTATTGTTGGAAAGCTTTTTCAATGATCTTCAAAACGACATTTAATTTTACTATATTCACAGTAATGGTTTGTGAGATACAATCAATGGAAGTTATAACAGTCTCAGATACTGCTATTTTTCGGAATGAACACTGTATCCAAATGTCCATAACTTTCACAATACGCAATGGATTTTAATGATTTTGGTACCATTGGGAAGTTAATTAAATAGTTAATTTGACCCTCAATTTGACTATGTTTTAAATTAAGAGAAGTGAGATATATGTTGTTGAAACTCATGCAAGATTTGACATACACAACAAGATTTTCTTGAAGGTTGAGATTGAAGAAAAATTCATAACTTTTGCTATTGAACTCAGATTAAAGTGAAATTTGACATTTTGGAAAGCTGTCTTAATAATGATCATAATAAGTGTAGTAAGCTCTTCAAAGCCTTTAAGACATACAATCTAAGCTGCATATATGATTTGCATAAGGGGATGTGGTTCAATGCTCTTTGCAATTGAGTATCTAAAAAAGACACAAATTTTATTTATCTCAAAATCTTACACAAGTAAGACTTTAAATAGCCATTGCACAATTGACCAACAAGGAGAAAAATCAAGGTAAAAATCTCTAATTAAAAAGGATAAGAACTAAAACGAAATAATTCCATAACTAAAACTTGGATATAGTTCTTCCAATTCTATTGAGAAAATTCATGAAAATAATTACAATTAAATATCCTAAACAAAAAGGCAAAGATTTTCAAAGATAGGTGGTGAATAGGACAAAGAGGCTGGTGGCAATGCATGGGCAGCTACGACAGTGTGCAGGGGCAGGCAATAGGCATTAAGTAGGTAAGTTAGTGCTAGGGTTGAGGTGCAGTTGAAAAGTGATGGCGTGCAGTGTGGGGTGCAAGATGTCATGGTCATGCTCGTCCAGAGCATGTTGCCTATGGCCGCATGCCCATAACAACCTCTTCTCTCCTACTTTTATGCCATGTATTTACTTTTTCATGTTATTTACTTTTCCTTGTATTTTTGGTGGCGAGTGACTCCTTGCCACTTTGCATGTTCACGCTTGCCAGAGGCAAAATGCTTTATAATGTACTATAGGGGGTACACCTAGTCTTCTCCCTACATCGTTGTATTCTTGTCTTGCCACTAATATATTCTCTTGCATTCAAGCATACAACAAAACTTTCCAAAATGTCTTTAAACGTTTTCCAAACTTTTTTTCTCTAACCCCGTTTTCCAAAACCGTTTTCTCGAGAACGGGGGTGGAGGTTGCGATATATAGCCGTAGTGCCGCCAGCTATCCGATTTTCATTGGCTGACTTGCTTGTGGGCAGGAGCAAGTGTCGCATAATCGCTGTGGGAGTCCTTTGAAAGGTGCGATTGTGACAGTTGGTATCGGAGTCTAGTTGGCTCCTCGAATCGAGATCAGTAATCATGTCGGCAGTGAAACAGTTGAACAAGACACATGTCGAACGACTCGTGGAAATTTAGGAACAGCTGTTGTTCCTGAGGGAAGTCCCTAATCATGTTCGGTTCCTAGAAAATCGACTAGAAGAGTTGGCTAGCAAAGCCGATGGAATCAACACGGCAAATGCTCGAATTAACGTATTACCAGTGAAAGAGTTGTTGGTTAGGGTTGAGACCTTAGAAAGTAAAGTCGGGAAAACTGCTAGTGTCGTTTGAGGGGACAGCTCGACAAGCTCTGTTGCTCATGTAGAGGAGTGTGTCAAAGAGTTAAACAGCTCCCAAAAGTTGATCATGCAGATGGTCAGCGACCTTTCCGACGACTTTCGAGCGGCTATAGAAGTCGTGCGGGCAGAAGTCACCGAGATAAACACGAAGGTGAACCTCACCATGAGAGCGGTGGGAAACCAAGGCCCAGCAGGGGGCAATGTCCAGTTTAACAAGGTGAAGATTCCGGAGCCTAAGCCCTTTGGCGGAGCTCGCGACGCTAAGGCCCTCGAGAACTTCATCTTTGATGTCGAATAGTACTTTCGAGCTACGAGTACAACGACAGAAGAAGCCACCAAGATCACCTTGGCAACCATGCATCTAGCGGAAGATGCAAAGCTTTGGTGGAGGTCCAAGTATATGGACATCCAAAAGGGACGATGCACTATAAACACATGGGATGAGTTGAAGAAAGCTCTCAGGGCGCAGTTCTTTTTGGAAAATGTTGAGATTCTAGCATAGCGTAAACTGCGAGAGTTGCGACACACTAGGTACATCAGAGACTACATGAAACAGTTCGCGGGGCTGATGTTAGACATACGAGACATGTCAGAGAAAGACAAAGTCTTCTACTTCGTGGAAGACTTGAAACCATGGGCCAAGTCCAAGTTGTATGATCAAGGGGTTCAAGACCTTAGCTCTGCTTATGCTGCGATTGAAAGCCTGTTTGATCTTAATAACGATCAGTCTCAAGACCACAGAAGGAATCAACCCTCCTCGAGTAGTGGGAACAAAACCACCAGAACAAGCTCCCCCAAAAGTGAGGGAGGAGACAGGAACGGAGGAGCAGACCGCAGACCCTATCAGAGGGGTAGAACCAACTGGCATGGGCCAAACCAACAAAACAACTTCAATCGAGGGGCCCTCGTTTGCTTCCTATATAAAGAGGCTTATCGCGTAAGCGATTGCCCGCATCAAGCTGCCCTGAAGGCACTCCAAGCTACAATAGCCAATGGTCCTGAGGTTGAGACAGAAGCTACCGAGACAGACATACCGACCGAAGAGCCTACTGATAACCCCCACATGGGGGCACTGAAATTCCTGTCGGCCATCTAGAAGAAAGTAGGGGAAGCAAAAGAACCGCTAGAGAGAGGGCTCATGTGTGTGGACGTGTTGGTTCATGGTAAAGTTGCTAAGAGTACTATGGTGGACTCTGGAGCCACACACAACTTCATGACTGAAACCAAGGCTCGCCGTCTGAATTTACAATGGGATAAAGATCCAGAGAAGATGAAAGCAGTTAACTCCGCAACCCTCCCTATCGTGGGGATAGCAAAGAGAGTCCAACTGAAGATCGAGACATGGAGCGACAAAGTGGATTTTGTAATTGTTAGAATGGATGACTTCGACGTCGTGCTGGGAATGGAATTCCTTCTAGAGCATAAAGTCATCCCCATGCCCCTAGCAAAGTGTCTAGTTGTTACTAGATCTGATCCCACCGTTGTTCCGACGAGTATAAAACAACTAAATGGGGTTAAGATGATATCAGCTTTGTAGCTGAAAAGGGGCCTTGCTCACGACGAACCAACATTTATGGCCATCCCAGTCAGTAAAGAAGTAATTCCCAGTGAGATACAACAAGTCTTAACTGATTATGCAGACATTATGCTAGACAGTCTGCACAAGTCCCTACCGCCGCGTAGAGGAATCGACCACGAAATTGAACTAATCCTAGGGGCGAAACCGCCCGCTAAAAATGCCTATTGTATGGCCCCTCCTGAGTTAGCTGAGCGCAGGAGGCAATTAGATGAATTGTTGAATGCAGGATTCATCCGCTCGACAAAGGCGCCCTATGGGGCCCCAGTCCTTTCTCAAAAGAAGAAGGATGTCAGTCTCCGCTTGTGTATCGACTATCGTGCCTTGAACAAGCTCAAGGTGCATAATAAGTACCCATTGCCCATCATTACCGATCTGTTTTACTGCCCCCACGGAGCCAAGTACTTTTCCAAGCTAGACTTGAGGTCTGGATACTACCAAGTACGCATTGCTGCAGGAGACGAGCCCAAGACAACCTGTGTCATGAGATATAGGGCCTTCGAATTCCTCGTTATGCCCTTTGGCCTTACCAATGTCCCAACGACGTTTTGCACCCTGATGAATCATGTGTTCCATGAGTATCTTTATAAGTTCGTGGTAGTCTACCTTGACAACATAGTAGTCTAAAATTCTTCCATGGCAGAACACCAGATCCACTTGCAGCTGATCTTTGAGAAGCTGAGAGAGAATGAATTATATGTGAAGAGAGAGAAATGTGCTTTTGCACAAGAACGCATCAACTTCTTAGATCATGTGATCGAGTGTGGCCGAATGGGAATGGAAGACGGAAAGGTCAAGGCTATTCAAGATTGGAAAGTTCTGAGTTCCATCACAGAACTACGGTCTTTCCTTGGGTTAGCAAACTATTATCGAAGATTTGTCGAAGGATTCTCGAAGAAGGCGGGACCCTTAACTGAACTTCTGAAGAAGAGTAATACCTGGAATTGCACACCGGAATGTCAAGTGGCTTTCAATCAACTGAAGAAAGCCATGATGGAAGGACAAGTGCTTGGTATCGCAGATGTCACCAAGCCGTTCGAGGTAGAAACTGATGCCTTAGACTTCACTCTAAGTGGTGTTCTCCTGCAAGATGGACACCTAGTGGCATACGAAAGCCGAAAGTTGAACGACGCAGAAAGGAGGTATGTAGCCTCTGAAAAAGAGATGTTGGCAGTAGTCCACTGCATGAGAGCCTGAAGACAATATCTCTTAGGCTCCAAGTTTATTGTCAAGACCGACAACAATTTGATATGTCATTTCTTCAATCAGCCGAAGTTGTACTTGAAACAAGCCCGATGGCAAGAATACCTCACCGAATTCGACTTCCAATTCAAACATAGGCCTGGTCGGTCAAACAAAGCAGCGGATGCCCTTAGTCGAAAGAGCGAACATGCGACCCTGTGCATGTTAGCTCATCTGAAAGCAAGCAAGTTGACGGGATCCGTGGGTGAAGCCATCAAGGCGCACCTGAAAGACGATCCAGCAGCACAGACAATCATTCAGCTAGCAAAGGACGGGAAGACCAGCCAGTTTTGGGTCGAAGACGACCTCCTTTTAACCAAAGGGAATCGTCTCTATGTCCCGTGAGCAGGAAACCTGAAGAAACTCTTGATGAGGGAATGCCACGACACCATGTGGGCTGACCACGCTGGGTGGCAGAGAACTTATGCCCTACTGAAGAAAGGGTACTACTGGCCGAACTTGCGAGACGACGTTATGCAATACACCAAGACGTGTCTCATATGCCAACAAGACAAAGTCGAGAGAACTAAAATTGCGGGCTTATTGGAGCCCCTTCCAGTGCCATCAAGGCCATGGGAAAATGTATCTCTGGACTTATCACCCACATGCCCAAAGTTGGAGAATCTGAAGCTCTCATTGTCATTGTTGATAGATTCTCCAAATATGCAACATTTGTCCCAACTCCAAAGATGTGTTCCGCAGAGATGACCGCAACTATTCTTCAAAAACATAGTGAAATTGTGGGGTGTTCCCGAGAGCATCGTGAGTGATAGAGATGGAAGATTCACAGGGACCTTCTAGACGGAACTATTCCTACTACTTGGCTCGAACTTGAACATATCCTCAAGCTACCACCCATAAACAGACGGTCAGACAGAACGCTTCAACAGGATGTTGGAGGAATACCTCTGCCACTTCATTGATGCTCGACAGAAAAACTGGATATAGATGCTTGATGTCACACATTTTTGTTTTAACTGCCCGAAGAACACTACTACAAGGAAGGCTCCTTTCGAGATAGTATCGGGCGCTTACCTGTGCTACCTCACATCATCGACCATCCCTACGCAGGAAAGAGCCCCCAAGCTTACAACTTCACCAAAGAATGGCAACATCCATGGATGTTGCCCGAGCATATCTTGAGAAAGCGTCAAAGCACATGAAGAAGTGGGCCGACAAGAAGCGTAGACCGCTAGAATTCCAAGCAGGAGATCAATTACTCATTAAATTACGCCCGAAACAGCTTCGATTATAAGGTAACAAAGATCAACGCCTTGTGCGGAAGTACGAACGACCAGTCAATGTTATTCAGAAGGTCGGGAAGACGTCATACAGGGTCCAATTACCCTCATGGATGAAAATTCACCCAGTGATTCATGTGAGCAATTTGAAATCATATCACCCAGCACCATTGATCCCGCACGTAACGAAGAGATTCGACCAGCAGTCACCTTGAATAAAAAGACTGAAAAAGAAGTTGAAGAAATCCTAGCTGAAAGAACTTGTCGAGTCGGACGATCGAGAAGGGACGTACAAGAATTCTTGGTCAACTGGATAGGACTTCCAGATGAAGAAATCAGTTGGGAGCGTGAAAAAGATTTGAAATCGGCATCAACCCAGATCGTAGAGTATGAACAAAATCGGTTGACAGGGACGTCACCATTTAAGTGGGGGAGGATGTCATGGTCATGCTCGTCTAGAGCATGTCGCCCATGGCTACATGCCCATAACAACCTCTTCCCTCCTACTTTTATGCCATGTATTTACTTTTGCATGTTATTTACTTTTCCTTGTATTTTTTGTGGCGAGTGACACCTTGCCACTTTGCATGTTCACGCTTGCCTGAGGCAAAATGCTTTATAATGTACTATAGGGGGTACAACTAGTCTTCTCCCTACATCGAGTTGTAATCTTGTATTGCCGCTAATCTAATCTCTTGCATTCAAGTATACAACAAAGCTTTCCAAAATGTCTTCAAACGTTTTCCAAACCTTTTTTCTCTAACCCCGTTTTCCAAAATCGTCTTCTCGAGAACGGGGGTGGAGGTTGTGATATATAGCCGTAGTGCCACCGACTATCCGTTGGCTGGCTTGCTTGTGGGCAGGAGCAAGTGCCATAATCGCTGTGGGAGTCCTTTGAAAAGTGCGATTGTGACACAAGACATTTGCATTGTTCATGAGGGCTGGTGTGCGCTAGGCGTGGTCCTTGCGACATGAACGTTTGAATGTCCCTTCATGCAAGGTTAGTTTGAATGATCATGTGGAGCATGTAAAATATGATCTAGCTACCTTTAGAGCCGAGACCATCTGACAACCAATGACGTAGAAGCTAACCACCAACAACCAAAAACAAAAAAAACCATCGACAACCAATGACGTAGAAGCTACAACATATCTAATACGCTACAATCTACAACAACCAACAACCAATATTGTAGAAGCTCCAACATTTCATACTCCTACATAATCATATTTAAAAACTGACAAGGTTTTTAACAGAATGTCCTGCATGCGTCCCAATTTCTAATTTCCCCACAACTCAATCAAATCAAATAAATTTCAAATTTTAATAATAAATTGAATTCATAAATTAATGTTTTTAATTACCACCCCAGTGTTAACTATGATTGTATGGCTCTTGAAATCGTAGCCTATTATAACTGAATTGTGCACTCCAGCTTCAAAGTACTCATTTTGTTAATTGATAATCTAAGAAATAGAAAGAAATATTTCATAAAATTCTTTACTTGGATTGCGTTTCATTACCCACCGGAACAAGAATTGGTTGATTTTGAAAGGCTACATAATTCAACTTCCAGATCGGTTCCTAGGTGGATGTGTTCCCTTACGGTCAGCTTATGTACCTCAACATTTGATAGAACCTTCCTTATACAGAGTTCCCTTATAGGCATTATTTTATATTAATATTTTATTATACGCTTTAATTTATATTAACCAATTTTATAACCCTTATAAAATAAAGAAATTAACCTATAATCATGTATCTATGACATTCATAAATATAACACTTATATTTACTAGAGTAATGACATGCTCCATGCATTTCAATTTTCATTAAATTAACACAATACTTATATCAATTATCCATGAAAACTTTAAATCATGTTATCATGTATTACAACAATTATACATATATAATGCATGATAATTCTTAACCTATTGTGTGATTTTAAACTAATTAATGCAACATATATAACTAACTAAATATACGTTCACAATGCATAATAATTAAACAACAAAATAAACCCGTTTCTGACATCCCATAATAAATAAAACAAAATAACAAAAAGAACAATTTTTTTTTCAGTGCCTAGGTGCACAAAACCAGCGCCTAGGAGCCCGTACTCAGCCCCTAGGCGTTGCCCCTCTACAGCAAACATGTCCTCTCGGGTTTTAGCAACAGGTGGGTGGAGCCTAGGCGCTAGAGATCGGTACCTAGGCACTAGGTGAAGCGCCTAGGTGCTGTATCTTCTTCTTCTCTCGGGTTCGGCAGCGTGCTGTTCATTGTCTTCTCTAGTTCAATGGGTAGCTCCGATTTTGCTTCAATTTTCTGGTACTCTTTCACAACAACTCCTTGCCCAAACAACACGGACTTACAGACTTGATTTACAGGATTAAACGCACAAAACAACGGGTCCTTACATTGATCGAATCAACAAAAAAGTTGTAAATCTAATGCCAAAAATCGAAAATATATAACTACGATACTTTTCTTTGTAATTCAAAACAAGATCGAAAGCAGAATCTGACTCTGATACCAATTGAAGGAAACGACCCACAGCGGAGGCGCGTGAACGCTTGTGGTTCGATTTTGTTTTAGAAATACAACAAGAAAAGACAAAAACATTATAAAACGGAAATAGTGAAACATACCTTTGGAGACACTTCTTCAATGTAGACACCAACACCACCAAAAAAACCTTCCTCGCCATCCTCTGGATGTCAAAAACTTAGTTTGTGGGAACCGTCTTAAAATTGAGAGGGATATCGAGAGATTCAGAGAGAGGTTTCTCGTTAGAGTTTTTGGAAACTCATCCGACCGACCACACAAAATGGGAGAACGTCCAGTTTATAAGGAAGGAAGGGTGGGAAGTGATAGGTTTTTTTTTTCTTTTTTCTTTTAATTCTTTTTATTTAATTAAAACCGTTTTATTTAAATTAATATTTAATTAAATCAAATTTAATTAATACAAAAAAGAATTATTAATTTAATTTAATTAAATCTATTTTAATTTAACCAAATTAACATAACCCATTAATTTCATTAATTTAATTAAATATGATTAATTTAATTAAATTAAGAAAAAAATACACTTTTGGTCCTTGAGGTTTGAGCCAGGTGTCTATTTGGTCCTTGAAGTTTCAAAATGGACACTTTTGATCCTTAAAGTTTGTAGTTGGTGTCTCTTTGGTCTCTTAATTTTCAAAATGGACACTTTTGGTCTTTAAGGTTTGAGAAATTATTCTAAATGGTCATTTGATAGTTAGTTAACCATGTGTAATTTTCTCACTCTTCCTCCTCACTTTCTCTTTTCTTTCTCTTTCTCTCCTATTACTGGCCAGCTACCGCCATCACCAACTCACCACCCACCGTCATCGTCGCAACATTTTCTTCATCACCAGTACTTGTTGGAATGAGGGAGAGAGGGACACCATCTCCTCCCACCGGTGACTACGAAAGGGCGGAGGTCTCCCTCTATCATTCGTTCCAGATTTGGAATGAGGGAGAGAGGGGGGAGGTCTCCCTCACTCCTTCATTCCAGATCTGGAACGAGGGAGAGAGAGACCTCTTCCTCCCACCAGCGACTGCGAATGGAGAGAGGTCTCCCTCTCTCATTCGTTCCAGCCTCTCATCGGAGACTGCAAAGAAAAAAAATACGGCGATGGCACGACGGCGACGATGATAGTGTAGTGATGGTGCGACGAGGAAAGGGAAGTTACAGTGGGTGGTTGGTCGGTAGTGGCGGCTAGCCGGAGATGGGAGAGGGAGAGATAAAATCATTGACAGTCAATTAACAGTCAACTAACGGTCAAAGGACCATTTAGAACAATTTCTCAAACCTCAAGGACAAAAAATGTCCATTTTGAAACTTTAGAGACTAAAGAGACACCTAATACAAACTTTAGGGATCAAAAGTGTCCATTTTAAAACTTCAAGGACTAAATAGACACCTGACTTAAACCTGAGGGACCAAAAGTGTATTTTTCCCTAAATTAAACTTAAATTAATCAACCATATTAGAATCAAATTCAAATATCCATCTCTCTCATAATTTGAATCCAATTCAAAATTAACTTTATATCACAGTGCATCACCAAACGATA